ACATTCTTTTTGCTGTTTGAAAGTACTTTTGCAGGTTTATGTTGTAGTATAATATAGAGTAGAAGATAGAAATAATGAGAGAAAGTATGTGATTTAACACCACTAGTTTAACCATGTGGCGAGGATGGAGTTTATTAGAGTATGGGAGTTACCCGTTTGTGTGTCTTAGTGGGTGTGAGTGTTAGTGTGTGTTAGTGTGAGTGTAGGGTGAGCGTAGGGTGTGTGTTAGGGTGAATGTTAGTATGAGTGTTAGTATGTGTGTTAGTGTGTGATAGCGTATACGTGTGTGCGCGCGTTGTGAGTGTGCAATAGAGCTTCAAGCAACCTCTGCCAACATTGCTGATGTCTGAAATATGAGTTATCCAAGGTTATAGTTACTGACAACGGACCTCAGTAAACGTCGTAGGAGTTAAACTGGTTCTGTCATATAAGGAATTTAAAACAGGATACTGCCGTTTTATCACCATTGTTGCAGTTGAATGAAGCGTGATAAATGGAACTTTAAATTAACTTCTACCCCCAGCAACACACACACACACACAGTTTTTAACTGTTTTTGACGTCAATAAATAAATAAAAAATAAATAAAATAAAGCGGTTGAATGGGTTCAAGACATTTTTCAAGAAGACCAGCACAAGATACAGCGCACTTGTTATTACAGTTTTTTTTCAGAAACTTGAGTAAACAGCATCGGTGGAATTTCTCAGCAGTAACCTGAACTATAAGAATCAATATAAATACAATTTAGAGTAGGATACTTGGCTGTCCGGGTTGAGGCGCGTCTCAGTCGATTGCGCTGTTTCGGCCATCGTGTTGTAACCTTCTTCGGAGCTATACTGCTGTATAAAGCAGGCAGAAGTAGACATAGCTGCAGACATAGCTCGTACACTTGGAGGAGCAACTTCAATTGAAGCACGAGAGAGCAGATGGCACTCAGTGGGCGCCGTTAGGCTCAGCCATGATGGAAAGTCATGGGTACGCCGATGCAAAACCTATCCGGCTGCAGCTAATGAGAGTCATGTCGCATGTTGCATCACACTTTTAGCGGGAAGTTTAAATGCAGCACGATACCAAAATTATCTTTTTTCTGAACTAAATCTTCATCGCGTTATTTTGGGTTGGTCAACGTTGAAAATTGTCACTTTATGCCTCTCAAAATGTTTCTTAATACTTTTTGAATGTCATGGTGGTCGGCAGCCAGTGTTTGGCGTGACTTTTCAAAACAAGTGCCTGTGTTGTGGTGTCGTGGTTCGTGACGTCTCAGGTGCTGCGCAGAACGGGCAAAAATCGTTGCGCAGGAGCAGTTCACCAATTTGCATCGAGAGCTCACCCGAGCTACGTCGCAAGACCTTTCATCTCCCGGCTCCTATTCTTTATCGTACCGAACGTGAAGGTTTGATTGATTAATTGAGGATTCCAGGCGCGTTAGCAGCTAGGGTAATTAGTTCTGTACGTATAGTACATGTTTTTCTTTGGGCGGTGTCGGGGACTTCCCCGCTGACTGGGGAGATCCGGCGTCGATGTAACTGCCGGCTAAAGGGGTTTTCCCCAACCAGGCATCTCCCACCAGCGGAGCACCGCCCCAGCTCTTAGCTTCTGGACACGCTCTAACCTTCTGACCGGTCTCTCAGTGTGTATGGTAGCGCAGTGCATGTAAATGTAAGCGAGGGTGAGTAACGAGGATAGGACAAAGAAGGGGAAGGAAACATTGCGTTCGGTCCGTGGCCCGTTTTTTCGAGTACTTCTCCGGCATTCGCCTGGTCGGACCGGTCGACGTGATCGGATCGATCAGCCGGCCGCTTGAATTCTCTTCTAGGTAGCGAGTAAATTTGACCTAGCAAGTCGAAATCCCTGCCCCCGTCGAGAGCGTAATCTGACTTCCATTACCACTAGGAATGTGTATTTAACAGCTAAACTGTTATCTCTTAACAGTTCACGTTTCGAAATGGTTACGCGAAATAACAGCTATTTCGTTTATCGTGTGATTGGCCGTTATCGGTTGAAATTCATAGTACGTTTTGCAATCTATTGGGCCAAACCCGAACTACAAGCTTTCGCAGCAACCATTTTGTATGATTTTGTATGCAGTTTCACTGCAGCTAATCAATCGTGATTAGCAAGACTTCAAATTACAGATTCAAAGATAATTAGTTATTATTTATTATTACACAATATGTACTACAACGTTTTTAAATTTTATTGTATACACTACAATAAAATGTTTGTCCTTTAAATTAAATCCATCCAAAATGATTGTTAACTTTTTCTGTTCCATTGCTGCCAAGGTGAGATCCACTAATATTTCCCCAAGTCCGATAAATTAAAACGAGTTACGGTTAAATAACTCGCATTATAATAATTTGATATTCAAAAGTCGTTACCACTTTAGCTGTAGGTACGCCAATACATAGTTTCTCTTTGTCATGCACTTGTCGAGAGATCAGTCAGGGGCTTAGAGCTTGTGCCAGCTGGGATGGAGGGAGATACCTGGTTAGAGAAAACCCCGCCAGCCGTCTTGAAGGTCGGCGGCGGATATCGCGGTCCAGCGTGGGAGATTACCGTCACCTTGCACTACACTTACAAAAACGTGCACTAAGCATACCGAACGAATGACGAACATCACTAGTCAATCAATCACTCAATCAATACGGCTACAGGTTCAGCAGACGCAGCCTTCGCTGCCGCAAAGAGTGCACCGCAAAATGCGCACATAGAGTAGTATGTTCTTTCGATCAAACTTCCCCCAAAAAAGTGTTGATCCCAAAAGAAGTGAAGTATTCCCAAGCTTCTTTAAATGGAAGTAAACTTTTTCCCAAGATGGTAGGGCAAAATTGCCCTAGCTGCCCGTTTTGTGAATAAATTAAGTTTAAAGTTCCAAACTCTTATGGAAAAAGCTTCGCGGCAATATTTTTTTAAAGATATTGAAGAAGTTATACGGGCTAAGTATATGTTGCTTTTATTCTGTACATAGTAACTTTTATGAAGATTAAGTTAATATTAAATGTGGCATATCTTACTGGACATTTTGAGGAGTAATTGATATTCATCGCAACCGGAAGTATTGGCTCTCGGCCAGGCTCTGTTTGTCTTAGGTTACAGGAGAAAACTGCCCTAGCTTAAAATTTTGTAACACACCTACAATCTATTTGACCATAATTTATTTTGAATGTGTATAATGTGGATTAATATTAAACACAGAAATAAAGATAAGTACGGTTGCCTAACAAGTCCACCTAACTTGGACTAGGAATCGCCAACTTATGAAAATGAAAAACCATGCGAAAAACTAAATTTATTAGTAAATATTGTTTTTCTAGAGCAACTATTAATAATGTTAATCTATAGACGTACTAAATGGTCGACAGTTTGACTAAAGACTGGAACAAACTGTTGAAGCTGCGAAATATTGCTTAGTGATTAGGAGAGTATTTGAAGAAACTGCGACGAGAGAAGTTCTGTGAATCGTCTTACTGTGTTCTCGACAGACGAGAAAATTCTGAAAAGATGACACATAATTGACAAAGATTAACACTTTGCCGTAAGAATCATTAAGTATTGAAAAGAGTGTCAGGATTTCCTTTGTCTAGACGAATATAAATATTCTGCTTACGAATTTCATGCTTGGTGCTTGTTCACGCTGCTTTTTGACGAGTTTCGGATCACTAATTCACGGAGACTACGTACCAACCAACTTTCATTGCGCGCAATACGCGTTTTGCTTAGCTTCTCTGCACGATTGCTACAAACCTGCTTGCGGCTCCAGATTCTCAAACAATGCGATCTCGTCGCGTCTTATGTGGAAAAAGTTGGATTCCGGGAAATTTCCTACAATATGCAAACTTTTCATGGTGGCAGGCCACGAAGAGGTGCTATCTACCGGACATTTTTGGAAGCAGTTGAAGGTCCGTTCCAAAGAACTACGTATAAAACAAATTTTCTGCTGCTTGTGAGAATTCACGTTTATTTACGTATTCAAATTACAACGCTACTCTTATCCTCTGCTTTTAAATTCCACGCCCCCTCCCTCCACGACAGGTTGTGCAAATTAGCGCAGTTAGTATATCGATATAGACGTAAACAAAGCAGACTCGCATGAATATAAATTAATTCGTGATAATTACTAATAATAGTTATCACGTCTAATGAATAGTCATACAATGGCCTTCAACAATTGTCTGTGTGTGTATGTGAGGGATGTGTAAAATACAGTTCAAAGTAGAATAGAAAAGTAACATTTCATTGATTGGAATAACTATCCCAAACCTTGAATTTTATTTTGATGTTTCCTAAAAATACGAGTATAAATCAGTCTACTACTTACTACATTCTTACATACTTCAAGATAATTTGTGAACTAATGAATACACTTCTTTAAGCATACAATTCAGTGCACGATATTTCAAAATCTGTCGCACAGATTTGATGAAAGAAATAAAGTTGAAATATTCAACATTGTAGGAAGACCCCGATAAAAATTTTGAGCTTTCGAAATTTCCCAAAAATCATAGATTTAAAAAAAAATTAGACCTGTGCCATTCTTTGAAGCGTGACACAGCATTCACAGAGAAGGTTTAATTTTAAAAAATTGAAATAATTTTTGGGTAAATTTAGATGTAATTGAGGAATCACGTAAAGTATCATCAAAAATCAAAATATGTTTAAAATTCAAAAGGCATCGAGTTCATTTAAATCGATCGGGTAATATCAATTTTGGAGAAAATCGGCGGAACGGTTTAGGCGCTGGCTTTGACCACAGACAGACGGACAGGCAGAAGTTTTGCAGTCAATCGATATCAAGAACCCACAAAAATGGATTCTGACCACACGTGTTAAAGGAAGTAATGTATTGTATATAGGAAAAAGATTTATCCACTTTTTTTTGTTACCAGGGCCCATCTTGTAAAATTACAATTCATTCCAATTCATGTTAGGTATTTGCCCAAATCTCTTAACCAAGTGAAAGGCTTAAAACTACAAATAGAATGTACCTCTTTGGCAGATCAGACTCGGTTCGCCGCGTCCGCACGATGTCGTTGGCTGTAGACCAGTCCACCGCCAAGTGTTGTTCTCTCTTGACTGCCCAGCTGTACTTGAAAGCGGCTAGTTAGGCATCAGCCCACACTTGAACCAATAGACCCGCCGGCTTGAGTTATCCAAATGCGACGCGCGTCTAAGACTGACAATTGTTCACACCCTCGCTTCTATAAAATATACAAACATTTTTCTTAATTTCATAGCTTTTTTTGTCACAAAACTCGTCTTGTAACTATCCTTGAAGCTACTTAAAAATTGTCGTAAAGGATATGACACTGATAGTTCTTACTTATGGAATAGATAATATTATTGTTGTAACTGTTTATCACATAAACATGGGTGATAATTATGCAAAACATGAAACTTGGAGAAATTGGAAGCTTCTTCACTTACTTGCGAGTTTTGCAAACTTCATTGGTTTGTGAAACAAAATCATTAGACATTATTTTCTCGTATACATGGTAATAAATGTAGTGTAGTTAGGAAGTCATTCTGAAAACATTATATGGTGAATTTGTATCGTGAATACATAACTGAGGGTCCCTAGAACCTAAAAGGTGATTTTTTCAAAAACTCTTGTCAATCCGTCCGGCCATATCTAAGTCATAGTTTCCGCCTTCCCTTCTGTCCGTCTATCCGTCTTTGGACAAAATTGGGGGCCAAACCAATCACTGGATTTTTCTCTAAAATCGATATTTCTCAGACGTATTACTTTCACTCTAACAACTTAGAACTTGAAACAGAAGTTAAAATGCAATGGAATACTTAACACGAAACCCCTATAATATTTCAATTTTCTAAAAAAATGGCCCAAAATATTTTTCTTGAAATGTATTGTTTAAGTAGGGTAAAACCTAATTATAAACTAGTGGTACTACAGAATGGCACATATTTTCTAGCATTAGTTTTCTATGTATTACAATAGTATTACATATTCTTTGGTCTCGGCTAGCTATTCGGACGTGCCACATACTCTGGTTAGCTGCTATCTATCGTCGCCAAAGTACTGCCAAATTTTCTTAGTTACAAAAAACTTCATTCCAAGTCATTTGAAACACACTAGCTAACAATTGCGTAGTGTTTACAAATTGCAGGAAATGTCAATAATAACGGCGTGATACATTTTTTAAAGAAATTACATTTGTGTTACTTTTGAAAAAAACTCGAACTGACCTTTACGCCATGTTAAAAAGTGCAATTAACACTAACCGTTCAAAATGTTAAAAAATTGGTGCCATTTTTGAGAAAATTGCGTTTGAGCATTTCTGAAAATAGGAATTTTTGAGTAAGTTCTCACAGAAAACATGAGTTTTGGAGAATTTTTTTTGACATTTAAAGAATATGTACTCATAAATTTAATGTGAACAAATTGTCGTCAGTATAAATATTAAAGACATGAGAGAAGTCAAAAAATTAAATTTGAATAATTTTTGAAAAACAAACAAACAAAATATTAGAGCAATATGGTGTCTATGTCATCTCATAGAGTACATTAGTCACTATCCCTATCAAGAGTTTAAAGAAGCCATTTGGAGCTGTTTTTGAGAAAATCTTGTTTTTGTAATTTTTTATAATCGTCCTCTATATTATTTTAGTAGTATACATATACCTTCTCTGGCTCTTACACGCAACCAATCTTGATAAATAAGGTATCTAACAAAATATAATTTCACGGAGACGTGACGAATTGCTCTTTGACGTCGAAAGTATGAAGGATTGGTTTTAAAAAGTCTAAATATTCATGCCAAATGCAACACGCAGCACTTGTCGGAATTTTTCAATCTACATCTCAATAATTTACATCTAAATAATTTCTACACGAAGTGTTTTAGGTCCTTAAAAATTGCAATATTTTGAGGTCAAAGTCTTCAAAGAAACGTTTATTATGCCGTAATCTAAGGATACATTGTTCTTGGACATTCTCTTACATTTTTTTTGGTTGGACACTTATCGGTATTATCCATACCAGCTATAGTAGTCGGCGCTGGAGGCTATCTTTGTGTCATCACGCCTAGAAGGCTTAGATTTATCAAACTTACAACTTCTGTGTGCGCCGACTGTTGAAGTTTATTTGCATAATCATTAGTACAAGATTATGTAAATAAATCTAAATATCTCTTAGCTACAAGAAGTATTAATAGTTGGTTGATACCGATGAAGACTGCTTTTTACGTATGTAATGCGATCGTTTATTTATAGAATGTAAATATTGACGTTCTTGTTTCTGTAAAAAGTTTATGATATAACATACAGACAGTACCGACAGAATCAGTAACATACAAAATCTGCAACTGAATGTGAAATGAAACTAATTACAAGATATTCTAATTGAACGAATGTACCTGTCAGTTCGGTAATAAAGTTAAATAATATTCCAAAGAGCAGAGTTATGCTTGCCAGGTCCTGTTTTTTCGCACGGAAAAGTTTAAGTAGCTTTCTCGAGAGCAAAAAGCTTTTGTAATATTTTGTGACTATCAAGGAAAGCGAAGAGCTAACTGTCAAGGAAAATTGTATGATTACTCCAAATGTTGTTTTTAAGGAAGTGTTGTGAATTGTTTCAAGAACCTGCCTATAACACTGAACTTTTTAATTTTTTTAACAAATTAACAGGTTTCGTTGACAACTTCCCTTCTTAAGATGGGAAAGGAAAGATAGGGAAGAGAGTGGAATTTAACGTGCGAGAGTTCTCGCACGGGTACGCTAGTTGCACATATTGCTCGTATTATTGCCCGGAAACTACACAAACTGTCAAAATAAATGTACATGACCTTAATGAAAGAACTCACTATGGTGCACAAATATTATTTGGAGGAAAAATCTCTATCTTCAATTTTGTACTTGTACGAAGACGTCGATAAAAATCAAACTTGTGAAATTTTCGAAAATTTAGAGTTAATCCTGAATATGTTATAAGTGAATTTTACCCTATTATTGCAAGATATTTAAAGAAAAAAATTGGAAACATTTTTGAGAAATTTTTGGAAATGTCCCTGGGGCTTAATGTAAAGAACCATCAAAATTTCTTCTCGAGCCAAATTGACAGGTTTTTTTCAATTTGAAAAAGATCCTGATTTAGGCCCTAATGCTGTTCACCGACGGACAGGAGGGCGTTTTACTGTAAATTAGTTTTTCTATGTCAAGGACCCACAAAACAGTGATTCTGGGTACACTACGTTTTAGAGGATTTACCTACTTTTTCGTTATCATGGCCAGGCATTTTTTCTGCCAAAAATCCGACGTTTTTCGCGCAGCATTAGATAATATTCTCTATACGATATATATTACTCCGTATATACGTTACGTATACGAGAAAGTAAAAAAAAGAGGACATGTCCAGGGAAAAAAAGGAATAATGGCAACCTTATGATCGGCAGAATATTTTTACAGCCCGGAATCGTATTTATGGATTACTGGGGCAAATTGATAAATTGGCCCTTCGTTCTGTGAAGGCGCGATAGCTAGCGCTATCTTTAGGGAATTAAACATGACACAAAAACAAGTGATTATTGTAAGTCTTTTAATTTGCCATTTCCTTTTCTTTGAAAATACATAAACAGAGTTTAAAATATCTATATTGGAAAACACACATTAAATATATGTTTTTAGTATATTAAAAACGTTCGATACGTAGTTATTGCGTTTTAAAATTTGAGAATTTATATAATATATGACTTTTTGCTGGAAGTAGAATGTTGCACTAACCACAGGTTACAAGTATCAGCATCTGTATTTTTTAATGTCTTTATTTTTTCTACAGTCTATTTGATTATATTCTTGAAATCAGCATTTGAACAACTTCATTGATCCACAAAAATAACATGATACGACTTTGCGACTTACTTTTGACCTCCGGAAAACGTCTCATCAAAAATCACATTTACTTTTCAGTCTTCATACATAAAAACTATTTATGTGCTAGTTTAACGGAAACGAGAACATAAAACATTTTATTTCGATTAATTCTGCATTCATAATTATATCATAATGGAATAATCTCTAAAAAGGGCAAATTTTGATTGATCAGATACCCCATTATAGCTTTCGTAAGTTCTTCGCCAAGAAATCATCGCAAACGTAGCATTTTTTCATTTCTCGAAACAGAAATTAGTCATTGAGAGCCAGATGTGGTATATATGGAGGATGATTAAGTTGTAAAAAGCCACAGTGTTCCAAATCTCTCATTTTCTGTTGACCCGCACGGCACTGCACTTGCCATCATCTCACACCAAGAGCTTACGGCTTGTAATTGAGACCAAACCATACCAAGATATGTCTCAAATTACCTGCGCGTGGTCTGCTTTCCAAGAAAGCGGTAAGATACCGTGGTAAATAACTTCTTGAACGTCCCTCGTATTTTTTTGTAAAACTACTGTGCGATATTACTTATTCCTAAATAAAAAATTGCAAAGGAGGCATCCAAAAGATATTCCATCCAGCGGCGTCTGAGAATACAATTAACTCACCGTTGATTGAGTAGATCAGATCATCTCTCCATGTTTAACAGAGTAATAATACTTGGTCAACGTGAGTCAATGAACTCAAGCAGACGAAAATAAATTTTACAAAAAAACATTTGTCTATGGATGTTAATAATGTTTCAAAGATGCTAAAATTTGGTATACGAAGGTGAGAGAAAATTTATCATAAGAATTTTTGTTTAGTTCAAGTTGATCATACTGCCTTCTGCGCATGCGTGCGTCTATTTAGTACTATACAGGTTAATAGAGTGAAGTATGACTTTGTTCGTGTCAGAAGTTTTGCTGCAATGACTGAAAAACATAGTGGTTCCGCTGGCAACATGTGATCTGAACAAAAAGCAATGATTCGTTTTCTGTGGTCATGTAGTGTGTCGGGGCTGAATTTTTATCGAACTGAAACGAAAAATTCGCTCCAATCGACGAGGACCTTTTGCCTTAGAAAGACTTGATGCTGCATGTCAATGCACACCCAGAAACGGTGCACCAAACGGTTGCAACTGTTGAGTGTTTGGGTTTTGAGGCGACCGAAGACCCAGCCTACTGGACAAATCTTGCTTCATCTGTCTACAATCTCTTTGGACCTTTCAAAGATGATTTACGAGGTCAGACAATGAAGTTCAGGCAGTGGAGCTGTTATGATCGACGTTCTTTCGGATCCATAGAAACCCGCGCTCCGTGAATCGCTAGTAGTAGCGGCGGCACGGCCAAGATACGCGCCATCGCGCTACTGTCGAGGAACGAGTTTACGCCAGTGCTGTATAATGGGCCAGCCAGCACCGGGAAGGCAGTTCCGGCAGTACAGTGATTAGCGAGAGTACATAGTTCCAGTCAGTGGAGACTACGGTAGCTTACGCCGTACTAGGGAGACGGAGACGGGATCCGGCCATCACAGCGAGTCGCTGGGGAGGCTGCGAGGTCAGAGAGGCGACGCGAGCCACCGGGAGCCGCGGTCCTAGGGAGGCCCACGCACCCACAGAGCCAGAAAGCGCTAGTAGTCGATCATTTCGTAGGAGTGGGACAGTCGGCCACGCACGCCGGAAATCGGACCAACTTGGGCCGTGGCACTAGTGATAACAGCGGGAGGTGTAGGACGAGCAAGGGAAGCTGTAGCCCGGGACTTCCTTTCTACACGGCCGGAGGTGACGGCGGGCGTGACGAGTGAAGCGTCACGCCGCTAAGAAGCGGGAGGATTATTTTTGGGACAATCATTTGAAATGTATAAAGGGTTTTACCACATGTACAAAGTTAGATGGAATAAAGTAATGTTTAGCCAATCAACAATATCTCATTTCTTGAACCGTGCATTAATGATCGCGCGCCAAACCAATACGTGCCTTTTAGGAAATAGCGGATAATTTTTGACTTTCTCTCATGTATTGAAATATTAACATTTTGAAGCATTTCACGTATACAAATTACACAAATGATTTAGAAACTTTTATCTAGAAGTACCGAGCAAAAAATATATATGAAACAATAAGAAGATGAAAAGAAATTGGAAAAGCAAAAGTTAATAAATGTGTAAACTAAGACTATATACAAGATTTGTGAATTAATTGCCATTTTCCTGTTTGATCAAATCTGCTGCTTTCTCCCCTATCACGTAACAAGGGAATTGCAAATGACCTGAAATCACTAAGGGCATGATAGACGCATCCGCAACTCTCAGTCCCTCAATCCCAACCACTTTCAGATCAGGAGAGACAACCGCCGTCGGGTCACCAGGTGGACCCATTTTGGCGGTTCCGCTCTGGTGGTAGACCGGGAGTGAAAAGCGGTGAATAGCACAACGCCAGTAGTCATCCGAGTCGAAGTCGACGTCCTCACACCCGGGGACAGGTGCATCCACAATGCGAGCACCGACCCTCTGGAAACTGGGGGCCGCCAACACCTGCTGGAAAGCCCTCAGACCAGACAGCACCGCCGCCACGTCCTCCGGATCCGAAAAACCTCGAACGTCGATCTGGGGCGGCGTGGATGTGTCGTTGTTCAGAAGAAAGATGCGTCCTCGGCTTTTCGGACGTAGCCGCCAAATGGCAGCCAACAGCGACGGTTTGCCTTTAATCGGTTCGAGAAGTCGATCGTATGCGACATCCGATAATCGAAATACATTCGCCATCTTTCGGGTAGCGAACGGGTTGAGAGAGGCGTACAAAATCTCCACATCCGGCCAACCAGGAGTATGGAACTCGGCTCCCTCAACCTCATGAAATGTAATTGCTTCAAAACCTGCCGTACTCGAGAGGGGACCGGACTTTTTAGCGAAATAGTTGACAAGGTTCAAGGGATTGAGCAAAACATCGGGTATGCTGGGGCTGACGGACTCGTTGAGTGTGGTGATCGTGGCGACGAGCGCCGTGTGGTCCATGAGGTTGTGCCCGACGGGCAGCGGCTGCACCACCGGTATGCCCAGCTGCTGCAGGTGGTCGGCCGGCCCGATGCCCGAGTGCATGAGGATGGCGGGGGAGTTGACGGCGCCCGCCGACAGGATCACCTCGCGCGTGGCGTAGGCGACGTGCTCGTGGCCGCCTCGCTCGTAGCGCACGCCGCGCGCGCGCACGCCCTCCAGCACGAGGCGCGTGGCGAAGCTGCGCGTGCGCAGAAAGAGGTTGGGGCGGGCGCGCGCCTCGTTCAAGTAGCCTGCGTTGGCGCTCCAACGGGAGCCTTCGTACGTTGTGGTCTGCATGCGTCCCGTTCCTGTCTGCTTCTCGCCGTTGTAGTCGTCCGTCATGGGGAAGCCCGCTTCCTCAGTTGCTTTGAGGATCAGCTCACTCACGTCTGCGCATACAGGTTTCTTTTAGAGCCCCCCTGATGTAATAGCGCGTTTGGTGGGTGTAGGGCAGAGTTTTCCTTTATGTGAAGCAAATGAGAGGATATACATCTCTCATCTAGAAGTGAATATTGAACATTGACATATGCAACATACAATACTTCTAAAGTCGCCATTGTATTCTTGAGCGACATATTGCTTTTGTGAAAAGATATCAATATGGGGACTTAGAGGAAATAATGACATATCATTAATGTCATTTGAGACGGAAAAATACACTTCCCCTTCTTCTCAATTACATGAGCAACTGATACTCCGGATAGCTGACTAAAAAAACCCCTTCTGTTCTACACAGTAGTTTTTCAACGATTTCTATTCTGTTATATTTAGAAGAATGTGCTTAAAGTGGGTGAATAGAAATGCGTTGATATATTTGTAAGCATAGTCGAAGAAAAAATAATTTTTTTTCGGCGGAAAACGATTGAAGAAATATTGAATTCTTTGAATAAAGGCGAATTTTACAATCGTGTTTGACAATTGCGTGCGGTCCTGGGATCACGACCGACCTCGCAAGCTGTCGTCAGAATTGCGGCTCGCTCTTTACAAGCGATGCTAATTATCTCTAGAGCCTTAAACCACGCAGGCAGTGAGACCTGCAATGACTCACAAAGTTCATAAGACAAATCATGTGATTCAGAATATGATGAAATTGGAAAATTATGCCTCGGGGGTGAAAACGACACAGGAATTATTGATTGATAATATGGAATAAATATGCTAGTGTGTTTTTATCTGGAATGATTCAACTTGTGGAATGCAGTCTGAACATATTACGTGAATGTTTTCCAATATTTGAAATACTATGTTTCAGGCAAAATCGTTATTTTATGTAAAAAAGAAATATTAATTTGCGGAGGTGATATTCCCAGTGGACCGTAAATTGGCGGGTCTACCCTTTTGTACATCCTTCCGTATTTCTAAATTATTTTCTGAGCGCAGGACCACCCCAATTAGAAGCTTGTGGAATTTGTATGTTGCTGGAACTAATTTGGAGTTCGTCACCATCACTTAGAAATGAAAGCATTATAGTTAAAACACGTAATTGAACCACTAAATCATTACAAAAACTTAAATGATAAACCTCGTATGCTGTATGAGAACATACTTCATTAAATTCAAGAAGCACAAATGTAATTGAATGCAGGCATAATACCGCGATTAATCGTTATGCGATTGAGATTCACAGATTATAATTGTCATGAACAAGATGAATAAAAACAATTGTGAGTGATTCATGGCAGAATTGACACGCACTGCTGTAGGAAAACTAAAGTTGCGTGCGACTTCTGGAAGAACGGCCGTGCGTGTTGGTGCGACGAGTGTCCCTCTCCCAGATGGATACACGCGGGGAGGTTCGTGCCGCGCTGAGGCGTCGAGACTGGCAAGTAGGCAAGTGTGCTTTACGGTAGAATACGTGGAAATGTTCACGATACATGAAGGAAACATGTTCTTGCTAGAACGTTGCCGACATTTCAGGCAAGACCCAGGAGTGCAAATGCTACTGTGCTGTAATGATTATAAAGTAACCTAATTAGCACATAGTGCAATAGTTAGTGAATTGTACGGACTATCGAATTATTGAAGAAGCTTTCACACGCGTACTTTCCGTTGTGCAGAAAGTTGAAAAAATGAGTGCGAGCTTGTGCAGCATAGGAGTGCAAGCGACAAGGCCTTCCTCTCGAACTGACTGAGCGAACGGCGGTGCTTTGATGTAGACCGCTAGCTTCGCGCGGTTTTGAGGTTCCAGCGAATGGGAGCATTTCTTTTAAACACATTGTAATTAAAGAACTGAAGTTATTGTTCTTAACTAATCAAATGAATTACGGGGTTATTAGCATTTTTAACTGATAATTACATTGCTAGTTTCAGACTTAAAATGAGGTGACAACGTTACGTAATTTGGCGCGATTCTGTTTGTCGCTGGCACGCGGTGACGACCGGTGGTTCTGGGAAGGCAAGAATAGGCTGACATTCCAAGAAACGTGTTTGTTGTGCGAGCTTGTTGCAAAATTCAGTTGTGAAAAGCTTTACAGAAATGATTCTAACTGAAACCTAACTGCATTTATGTGCATGTCGAAATAAATATAATTAATTTTATTAATACGTTGCTTGTCCGAACATTAATTATTACAAAAATGAAATTAATCTGGCGTAACCAATTTTCTTTCTAAAAGTATCACTTACCAAAGAAGGAATTAGGATATGTTATTTTTATTCTTCCTCCATATCCTCTGTAATCACTGTTCTGCAATTCAGGAATTTGCATATCTTCAACTTTCTTCAAGTAAGGAAGTACATCAGCGAACGACCATCCCTTATTGCCCATATCCGCCCAGTTGTCGTAGTCCTTGGGATTGCCCCGAACGTCAAACATGTAGTTGATGCCTGTGCTGCCGCCGACCATTCTGCCGGCCGGGTAGTCGCACCGGGAGTCCTTCATGAGTACGCAGCAAGTGGTCTGCGGGGTGGTGACGTACTGCCAGTTCGCGTCGGTGGATTGGAACTGGCCGATAAAGAAGGGCACGTCCATGATGGGCACCTCTTCCCCGCCGGCCTCCAGCAGCAGCACCTTCCAGTCCGGTCGCTCCGTGAGGCGCAGGGCCAGGGCGCTGCCGGCGGCTCCCGCGCCGACGATGACGAAGTCGAACTCCTCCCTGCACATCAACCATCCCAACGTGCAGTGGAAATTACTTTTGTTCTTTACTGATCGCCTAAGCAGTAATTATAATTAGAAGTTTTGAATTCACGCTTTTGACCGCCGCTCTGAATTCAGATAAAGACGGAGAGGGAGCACAACTCAAATTGCAGTCAACGCGAATTTCACGATTGAGCGAAGCAATCACAGTTTTCAAGCCTCTCATGCGAATTTCGCGTAAGATCTAGAAAGATTCGACAATTTTGCCTCTGGAGAAAGCCCTATCATCGAGGTCACTTCGAGAAGGTGCTTTGTTCAACGGAATCGTTGTAAAAGGACGCTGTTAGCTAAAGCCTGATGTGACGAATAACTGTATTTCTGTAACTGAAGTTTGAGATGGGAAATAATATTTAAATAACAGTTATTATATTTGTTAGTTATTCATTCACTATAATTAAAATCGTTTCATTACAACGGAAGACAATATATTGATCGGGCAATTAGTACAAAAGATAATGTGTATCAAGATAACTATTCAGCAAAGGATCCGTTCTTATGATTATACTTATTTTTTCAAATTAATAAACTGTTAAGTTCTGGAATATTTTGTGAGTGTTAATTTTATACATTAGCACTTGTATTGTTTTTTCTTATATGGTATGTTCTTTTATTTCAGAAATCTCTGTTACATTCTCCGATCAATTCAGTTATAAAACTGTGTCGATATAAAACTCAAAGAGTGAAGTTCATGATATCTTTTTACAAACGAATACATTCTGATAACTAAACTTGTTCGCGATTGTTTCTTTCGTTTTTCCAATTTTACAGGCGAATCTCGCAGGGTACGAACAAGCACTGTGGATATTCTGTGACAGCCAATTACAGGATGGTACATACATCGAACATTTTATTAGTGTTCAAGTCATTCGGGACCCAGAACATTTTTTAAAAACTGAAAACCAGAAAGGTAATGATTCTCGCTGATTACAGTCACAATTGTGCCAACCTCAATAGCCGAGATCACTAAACCGGTCGCGCATTAAGTCTCACTTTAAATTTCGCCCCAACCAAAGGTGATTGTGTTCTGGTATTATGGGTCTCTCCCAATTACGATGTACCGCATGTAAACTCTTCCATCCATTCCTAACCGGCTTGGGTTAGAGTTTGGGGCTCAAGTAGTGGGCCTTAAACCTGAACTGTGAGTTCGAATCCCGCGTAAGCCATTATTCCGAGCACATTGAACACACTAGCCTTGCAAAACTCAGTAAGTCCAGGATGAAATCGATAGATCTCCTCTCCTACAAAATCCAATCATGGTACACTGTCTAAGACCTTCTGATAGTCAATCCAAATCACGCTTAAATTACGTTTTCGTTCCATTACATCATTGAAGATGACTATATTTAGTAGCACGATTTCCTTACAGCCATAGTCTAAGTGTCTGTACATTTTGTTAGCTATGGCTGCAGTTATAACTTTGTACATTACTGGCAGTCAAGTCATTAGTCTGGTGTTCTCCGCTGAAGACCTGTCTCACATTTTGGGTAGGAGATACGTGATGCCGCGTGTGAGCCATTCCGGGAGTTCCTTTGGGTTTTCTTAAAATGTTATAACAGCTTTTGCTACATGTGTTTGTATTGCTGATAATTTCTTAATCCAAAAATTACGGATCGTACAGGCCCGGGACTGCCCTCGGTGGCTCGTTGGTTACCGTCCTCGCTTTCCACGGCGCAACCCCGGGTTCTATACCCGGTCTGGCCAAAATTATAACTGTGCGCTTTCCTTACAAACGTCCCAGTATCTATTATTGTGTGACGATGAGCCAGGTTATGAAGAGCAGTATATACGATGGATGGGTGACTTGTGCTATCTATACTGCTGGTCGGCCGAGGCCCGTATCGGGCTGTCGAGCCAAAGGCCAGGACACACCCGGGGAATTTCCAGTTTCCCATATTCTTAATTGATTGAAAGAAATCCTCTTTCGAGAATTAGTAAACATGTTCCACTATTTCTACAATTTCATCGGCAGCATCAACTTCAGTTTTATTATTATTATTATTATTATTATTATTATTATTATTATTATTATTATTATTATTATTCTACATTATTCACAGTATCTTCTGGTCGGTATGTCAACCACACACAGGAATTATGTCTGGTGTCTGGTTGCTTTACTGAAGGTTCAGATGGCTTCTGACAATACGGCATGTATTCAAAATTACAGACTTTTGCATATTATATACATTCCTGGCATCCAAGTGAAGACACTCCAGTGCCCGAAGCCACTCCAGCCAAACAATGCTAGTATTCATTTAACACACTGCGAACAATTCTACATGTTTACAGAATCACGGATTTTTGGGCTTTAGAAATTATGATAATAGGGTCTAGGCCAACTGCTTCCAAGTATCTCTAACTTTTTGTTGATCAAACCAGTTGCTGTGATTACTATTGGAATTACTTTCACTGAATTGAGTTTATAAAATTCTTTATATTCTATGCAAATGGGGTGTATTTATACATAATTTTTCAGATTTTTCTTTATTAATATTGTGATCAGCCGGAGTGACATCAATAAAAATTGATGACACACCTGTAACGTTAACGGAAACATATTTACAGTATTAAGAAGTACAGCCAGTCTCTGAGACCCACAAAGTGCACTGAAGGGTTAAGAAAATTTTCCAAATGAATAATTACCTGGATTTTATGGCAATTTTCACACAAATAATACTTGAGATTGAGAAATATTATCTAAGATCAAAACCTAGATTAAAATCAGTCTGAACAGAAAACGTGATGAAATTTGGATCCCAGTTTGCCAATTAAATTATATAATACGTTAGATAAATTAGAAAAAAATACGAAGAAATTAAAAATCTAAAGTTTACAAAATCATAGAAAAGTGCTTGAAACAAAACCTACAACTCGATATCTTCGCAATGAACAACGTACATTACCCAAATTCACTGGTTTTCTTGTCCACTAGATAATCAGTGTTCAGATGTCAAATGAACGCGCTTAAATGTGGCTGGGATGTTTCTATACCGTTGGAGATACCTGGAAGGGAAAATCCCATAAGCAGAAGTGCTACGTGAGGGCGTTGTTAATGTTGATTTGTTCGCTTATGACGACTGAAGCGCCCCTGAACGCTACGCAACCCGCCGCGCAGTCCAGGATTAAGCGCGTCTTCGCTGCATGCAAGTATTCTGCCCCTGCGATTGAGATATATCGGCCGATATTATTACTTGAATATCAAGTAAATCACATTTCTCCAAGAAAGTTTAATGCGAACGCATGTCCAAATTTGAGGGAGAACGTTTTAAGAAGAGGATACTTAACAACCATGTCCAAACGATGACGGAACAAACGCATACTTACGAGAATGTCTTTCACCTAATAGAATGTTTGCACAGCGCAGCATGAAATGTTATCAACAATTATGTTTTGTGTGATGTGTAATTCACTGCAATAGCGAAGCATTGCCTGGTTCACTAGTTAGAAATACATACTTAGTTTTTATTTGTTTGGAATGAAAACAATTCGGCTTCCCAATTAAGTCGGAACCACAAGCAAGTAACTCCTACTTCAGCTGTCGCCACGTCATGGCACCTTTGCAAGCTGACGCCGATGTAGGTGCACTGATTTCACATTCCAACAGGGGAGGAACACCGCTACAATCAAGGATAAACAAGCACTTCACTTACGGAATATTTGAGGAAACGGGACAATTACATTTACATATATATCGAATGCAAAAACCTTGTCCATAAGGTCGTGATGATTCGCCTGTGATCGAATTCACACCAATTTCATGGCTGGTTCACACTACTGTTCGCGGCTAACGGTATGAACCAGAGGGTTGAAATATCTAGCGCGATACGTACTAGGTTAAAATTTTAGTTCACAATTTCTTTAACCAACCTTTCTATGCGTTATTACCAATCTTTGTACAAATTTTGTTGTATTCTTTTTTGTTGCTTCGTGGCGTATCCTATGTAACATTTCGTGAGGGTAAGTCTGTAGGTCCCGTACGTACTCGCTATACAATATGTCTTACTTAACTTCTAATTTATATTATTTTCGATGCATCTCCAATTACCGCACAATGTCACGACCTTGTTGAAGAGAATTTGTTGATCTTTACGATGAAAGATCGCTACATTTTGTGGAACTACAGCATTTACCTTTTTGAATCGTCTTCATGGTGTGATATGAGGAGGCGTTGCACCTGCATTATAACCGGTAAGAAATTAGACATGAGGTCCACCAATGGATACTTGATGGTCGCGGGTATCCACTGCAGGGGATCGAAGGGCGTAACCCCTCCTGCAAGGCAGAGCACCTGAAGTCCCACGATGAATCCCCAGCGCATGTTGGAGACTGCACGTCTCTGGAAAAGAAAGGAAGCAAATATATTTTGTGCCCTACAATGAATCCCCTGTGCATGTTGGAAACTGCACGTCTCTCGAAAAGGAAGGAAGCGAATATATTTTGCGTCCAATGACGAATCCCCAGAGCATGTTGGACACTAAGTTTTTTTAAAAAGAAGGAAGCTAAAGTATTTTGTGTCCAACAAGGAATCCCCAGCACATTTTGGAGTATGGTCATATCTGGAAAAGAAAGAAAACTAAAGTATTTAGTTATGGATTATAATATCTGTTAATTATACACAGTCAATTCAATTTTCGAAAATTAAATGATTCTCTACACTTGCCTATACTCTTGTCATGTCGGTATTGTACCTTGATTAAAAATGATTAATTGAGATTATACCTTGTTTAATTGATTATGTATAATTAAAAGATATTATAATGCATAACATTAGCAGACGGCCAGAATATAACCTCTTGAAAGTATTTTGTAGTGAAGCGGATTTTTTAAATTGTTGGGGATACTTTATGTAAACACTAAAAAAGTTCACAATTTATCACATTTAAGTGAAGCTTCTTATGCGACACTTGCGAGTTCAGGAGTGAAATGCTAGTACAGAACGGAAACGAGCTTCAAGACATAAAGTACCGTAAGACGTAAGACGTTATTAGAGTGTGTTTGCCTTAATTCCCTGTAACAACTATGAAATTTGAAAACCTAGTTTTCCCATCTCTTATTAATATACAGATAACTTCTACGAGTATTACTTAAGGGGAATTACTCCATTAAGGAGGAAAGGCATTGATATACGTCTTAATTTGACGTATGAGTAAGTTCAAGGAGGATTACTTCACGTTCAATGTGAAAAAGTTTTGGAACGCAAGTAACAAAAAAATCTAATTTCTCTTTTAACATGCGTGGAGATCACATATCCCCTTTCGTTTTTTCTGAAAAATAGAATAACTATTTATCAATATTTTTGTGTTAAGGAGAATAAATTATTACTCCCTTCTTTCTTCCTCGCACTCTCCTCCGAGATTACGTAAACAACTGCAATTGGCATATCAACACAGACGATTTATGAAGGTAATCGCTTGAAATACATATCGCAATTCATAATTATATAACGATTATCTTGCGTAGCCGTATAACGAGCTTGAAACCACAAGTAGATAACGTAAAGATGAAGTACATAAAGTAATACTTAATCATAGAATAATTATCAGGGGCCTGCCATTGGTGGTACGTCCGAGTAGGTAGTCGAACCGGGAGGGGGAGTCCCCCTACCCTCTCCATCCCCCACCGAAAATGTATATGAAGGAAAATTTCCAATTTTTTTTCAAATTGTCATGTTTATCATTAAATAGACATAAATTGTTCATGGAACGTTAGCGGTTTATTTTTCAATGCAAAAGCAGCGCTGTGCTTTGCATTTTTATATAAACTGATTTAACAATTTTTGCAAATCGATTTTGTCGACCATGTCACTGTAAACATTTAAATCACAATACTGTTGAGCCGATCTTGCAACATAGTTGATCGTATATTATGTTTTGAGTGGATGCAATACCGAGACACGTCGTTCATTTCTGGAACTTGATGTTTAAGGAATATTTGTCTCGTCCAAAATTCCGAGTGGGTATTTTACCCATTCGGAATTTTTTATGTGTGTGTAGGTACCCACACGCACATTACCCGTCGGGCCTGATTATCGTATGTAATAAAACGAGTACTTGGAGACATTGTCGATAAATCTCCGACTCGCGAAGCATTGAGGGGATTCGCCTGAGAATTTTCAAAAACGAGTGGTACTTAATAGTATTCCACAAATGACATTATATTCAACAGAGTTCGAAAATGCGCCAAATTTGAAAATAACTGAAAGCTTCTTTATATCAAAGAGGTTATGTTGTAGTACATACATGGTTTGTTGCACGTCAACACAGCGATTGATATATACCTCCTCGGAAAATTGGTCACAGCTTATTATTGGCCAGTACGAAGGAGCGGCAAGAATAATCGGATAGAAAAATCGATAATTGTTTTTGACATACACTGCCCTGATTTGAGTATTTTATGTTTAGTTAAGCATTATTGGTTTTACTTTCACCGGTGAAAAGATCATGAATGATGTACCTTCACGCAATGCCCTTGAATGCTTGTAAGTGTGTATAAGTACTAGATACGATCGAAATAAAATGAAAAAAATGTAATATATTGTAGAAATAAAAACCTGAATTTTTGAATTTTAGTAAAACAACACAAAAAATATGTCAATCCCATGCATTATTTACGTAAATTCAATTTTTGCATGTAACGGATATATTCCTCAAACATACGAATCAGTGACGAGATCTAGTGATCTTGAAAACTAAGAACTGACTATAATACACGTATGCTTTTCGAATACGTTACCGTGATTATTCACGAACCAAACGAGATGTTCTGAGGAGTGCATTTGAATATATCATATTTGCATTCATGAGAAACTTCACTTTCTCGTGCAGGTACATACACGTTTTCGGGATATTAACGGCAATACATGTTTTGACGTCCATTGACTCAGAAAAAGTGTTTTTTGAAACGTCGGTCCGTCCGTAAAAACCTAAACTATTCGTAGGATGTTTTCCAAAACGTATATTCTCCAATCTCTTGGGAATTATTTAAATACCCTTGAGTTTGAAACAGATTCTTTAAATTTTAGAACTTTACAGGAAGCCCCTTGGATTTTGTCACAATGTTCTCTGTTGGGTTTCACTGTCATCTCTAAAGTTTCGAAATTTTTTGAACCCTGTCGTACAAAAAACTACATTTTTGAAGAGATATTTTTTCTTTGCGCGATTTTTTCTTTGCACAAAAGTAAAAACTATTTCTCACAAACGATTCCGAATTTTTTCTTTAAACATTTTGTATGCATGAAATTGTACTGAATGATATGGTCTAAGCGTCACTTGGATTTATTCGTTAGCTTCGTCAAAAATTAAACAAAAGTTGCTTTTCAGTGAAACTTCTTATGCAGAACTACCGACGCGAAAAGTAAAATGGGAAGTTTGGGACGGAAATGAGCTTCGAGGCAACGGATGTGAACAGCTGCACGACGTAGTTCTTCATGTTCGGCGATAGTTGCGCTGCTGCATGCAGTGATGCCGAGCGTCCTGGCGGTTTCTGAAGGAACTTCGTTTACCGAGCACTTTCTATCTTGAATTTGGAACATATTTGCATAATAAGGGGGCGGATTTCAATAAAATTACATAATTTCTTTCTGTATACGTAATTATTATTATTATTATTATTATTATTATTATTATTATTCATTATGTAAAATTATGTAATGCTGCGCGAAAAAACGGAGAATTTTCGGCATAAAACTCTCATTGCCGGGACCTGGAAACGAAAAAGTGGATAAATCTACTTGCTAAATTTACAACAAGAAATCTTCTAATACGTGGTGTAGGCAGAATATATATTTTGTGGGTCCTTGATACCGAAAAATTAATTGACTGCAAAATTTATATCCGTTTGTTCGTCTGTATGATGCATGTGAACATGAACACTAGAGCCTAAACTACGAGTACGATTTTTTCCAAAGTAAATAAATCCCTGTCGGTCTGGCCTGAGTCAAAGCTCTGCGATTTTGAAAATCATTCATTAACTGTTACATGAAGCCCTTGGGGCATTTTCAACATTTTCTCGAAACTGCCTACACATTTTTTTTTAAATTTCTTACAAGAATAGTGTAAAATACACGTATAAAGGGAATATAGATCCTATTTTTCGGTTAATACTTAATTTTCGGAAATTGTAAAGGTTTGAATTTTTTGGCGTCTACCTACAACTACAAAATCGAAGATGGAGATTATTCCTTTAAATGAAATTTGTTTGTCATAATTAGTTACTTCACTACGTTACATTATTTACGCGTCGCCTATGGCGTTTATGTCATCTTAGAGAGTACATTTAGCAATATCCCGGCCAAAAGTTTAAAGAGAAAATATAGTGGCGTTGGCAAAAAGCAGTGGCGACGGCGCAAAAAGCAGTTGAATTGTGTAAATTGGGTGTTCTTTTCTTTCTCGGTTATTTTTCCCTTTCCGAACAAATATATTAATTTGTTTTGTACATAATAAACAATTTACATGTTTCTGGAGAGTCTATGCTTCTGCAATGCAAATTTTTGCCTAGAAAGCATTTTTTCAAACCAACTTTTTAGTGCGCTTATTGCGGCTCAAATTTTCGGAATATGAAAGTAGTTTATTAGACAAAATGTGATTAAAATTGTCTTGAGAGCTTATTCGCGAAGTTTCGACGTTTCCTCCCCGGATAGCCTGCATATTGTAGGTTTGTTCCAGCAAACAATCACGGAGTGTTTTACGTACTCTCACTCTGCGCATGCGCGAGTGCAAGCTAATCAGAAACTAGTCCCGGATTGGGGTCTGCTGGAACAAGTAGGTACAAAAAGCAGTCTCTAGGTGCCGCTGCTTTCGTTTCATCGGTAGTTGCAGAATTCTCCGCCAGATATAATTTTCGTATCGCATGTAAAAATCAAAGTGACCTGACTCTGGTTATTCCTTGTATTCCTGTGGTATTCACTTGCGCTTTATGTTTCTCCATTATTGCTTGCTTATTTTCTTGACCTTGCTATCAATTACAGATTTTGAACCTGGTAAACTGTGACTTGAGATATTGTTTTTGATTATTCTTTTGGATTTCGGTTATTTGTATTTTTCTTAATAATGAGTGATAACGCTACCAATACAGAACGGTAAATAAGTACATATATATTTAGTAAGTCGCGGTACAAGGAACTTCCTTAAAATTACTTACCTTGCATTTCCCAAAAAAAGAAACAAATATCAAGTTCCAATATCCACAAGAAAATCCGAAAGATGGCTAACTCACCAAAATCCAAGAATCTAGATTTAGATTGATTTAGAAAAAATAAAGAGTATGTGACGTATGGGGGAGAAGAATATCTGCGCATGTTTTCCTGAGTTCCAGAACCCCTTCCCATCGTTTCAACTA